TTCACCTGTGCCTATCCCATAACCCCTAAAACTTCACCTGTGCCTATCCCATAACCCCTAAAACTTCACCTGTGCCTATCCCATAACCCCTAAAACTTCACCTGTGCTCCCCATAAACTCAACACTTTGCAAATGCTTCTCCCCCACCAACACTTCACCTGTGCTCCCCTATAACCTCAACACATCACCTGTACTGTCTGCATAACCCCTGTGCCTCTCCTAAAAATATAACAAGTCACCTGTGCTTCCACCATAACCCCAACACTTCCCCTGTGCCTTAGCTTGCATTAATGCAATGTAAAGACGTGATCCCAGCCTAAATTTAACCTAATAAACCCCCAAAATTTAACTATTACCTATCAGGCCAACACTTATGTGCCACAATTATTGGTGTCCGAACATGACAGTCCAAGCTTCAGGGATTGTCAATCTCCCACTGCACTCAGCGATTCCTCCCGGTGACCTCCAGCAGGAGAGGTCAGTATTCCCTTTCCTCTATACAGGGGCAGAGCTTATTGGCACTTTTAGTTAGGTGACAGGGTCACTTTAATGACCATTAGGGGCTCCCCTGAATCTGCTGCTAAACAGAACCCCCGATTCTACTCTCACCCCAATACTAATACAAGCACCAATGTCCCAATGAAATCAGACAGGGCCAAAATACAAGTTAATGTGAGCCTATTGCTTGGCCCGGCAATGGGGCGAAGGGCAAGGACCAAGTTCTGCTTTATTGATGAGTGACCAGTCCAGACCGGTGTGTATCATGGGACCAGTCCAGAAGGTATAGAAGAACCCCCATGGTGCTCTCACCTCTCATTCAGGTTGTTCTGCTGCTCCGCCTGCATGGCCTTCTTCTTGGTCATTGTCTCGATCACTTCCCGCTGCTCGATCTCCTCTTCGTGCAGCTTCTGCTCCACCAGGAGGCGGCGGGACAGCAGGCGGTCATAGTCCTCCTTCAGGCTGGCGTTGGCGCAGACCAGCTGGACCTCTTTCTTCTCCAGAACCTGCCGCGCCATGTGTCGCTGCAGCTGATGCCCCTCCATCAGCTCTAAGAGGACGGCCATGCTGCTCGGAGGAAGACCGACATCGGGGTCAGCCACTCCAGGAAAAACACCCAACAAAGTACTTTCTATTACTTTTTTAGGGGCCAGCTCCCCCCCTTGATGCTCATTGCAAGAATTGTGATGGACCTGCAGCTTTTGTTCCCAACACAGCGCACACGGGGTGCTCTGCAATGCACGTGAGACCTGCCTAAGTACATTGGGATCCCAGTAGGGAGGGCTGCCTAAGTACATTGGGATCCCAGTAGGGAGGGCTGCCTAAGTGCATTGAGATCCCAGTAGGGAGAGTTGCCTAAGTGCATTGGGATCCCAGTAGGGAGAGCTGCCTTAGTGCATTGGGATCCCAGTAAGGAGAGCTGCCTTAGTGCATTGGGATCCCAGTAGGGAGAGCTGCCTTAGTGCATTGGGATCCCAGTAGGGAGAGCTGCCTTAGTGCATTGGGATCCCAGTAGGGAGAGCTGCCTTAGTGCATTGGGATCCCAGTAGTGATCCCATTGGTATCTCATAGAAGTGTAAAGAAGCCATAAAAGACACAATTCATCCCAAACTGGGAAACTGAGATACACACTGGGTACAGGAGCAGCACAGTAAAGTCTCGGGTGCACATATACACTTTTATATCATGTAGCCTCATGACTGGTCCTCTTTAATGGGGAAGAAAAACAGTTATTGATCAGTTTCTTTTCCTGAAAACCTTCACGCTCATAAGGTATTCTAAAGCTTTAAAGGAGAACTATGTGGTCAGTGCTTTTCTCCATAGTTCTCTTAAGGGTCACGGGAGGGCATATAGTAACCTCCTCCAGTGACCCAAAGCTCAGTATATAGAGAGCTACAGCTCGCGATATACTGAGACCGCCGCAGCCGGGACGGATCCCGACATTACTGTCGAGATCCACCCAGCTGCGTGAGTGACAGCTGGCTCTGCCTATCTAGAGGCAGAGCCAGCTGTACCCGCCCCCTCCCCCGTCCGTTCCTCCAGTCAGCGCTCCAGGATCGGAGTGGGGAGGGGGGGAATCCCTGCGGGGAGCCGTGAGTGACAGTCACGGCTCTCTGCAGGGAGATGATCGAGAAGCGAGCGAGTGTCGGTATGTGTTCGCTCACTTTCCGATCTATTGAGCCGACCTGTGACAGTCTCATTGTCACAGGTCGGCTCGAACTATGAGGATCAGTGAAAATCACCCCCCCCTCATAGTTCTCCTTTAAACCTCAAAGCCCATGCAGTTGCCCACCGCAGGTCCACCTTTTTTTTTTTTTTTTACTTTTTTCATTGATTTCCTATTCTGCTTGGTACCACGGAGGTATCGAGCAGAATAGCCGAGCCGAATGCCGCTCGACCTCGCTCAGCCCCTATGAGAATGGGCCGTACGTCAGCGGGTAGCCTGCCGGAGGTTCAGCTCAGCCGATCCAGATGTTGAGTCGAACTCCTTCTGCACTTCCGGTCGTCCAAACACGTTCGGCCGACCCGAAGCAAAGCCGAAACAAGCTGGTGTACGCTTCACTTCGGGTCGGTTATTCACACGGCTCCCTTCGGCAGCTTTGTGCATAACCCTCAGAATCTGCAACTGACATCGGGCCACACATGTCAATAAAATGTGATTAAAATGTAATAAAATTATAAAAATGATTAAAATGATTGAAATTGTTCCTATTAACCCCCTAGTAAGCTTTAGTTGGCCCTAATCAGCCCTAATTAAAGGAGAACTATGGGGTCAGGGCTTTTCCCCATAGTTCTCCTTAGGGTAACGGGAGGACACAAACTAGCGTCCTCCCATCACCCTAGGCTCAGTATATAGGGAGCTACAGCTCGCGGTATACTGAGACGCCGCAGCTGAAGCGGATCCTGACAATTATGCCGGGATCCGCCCAGCTGCGTGAGTGACAGCTGGCTCTGCCTATCTAGAGGCAGAGCCAGCTGTACCCTCCCCCGTCCGTTCCGCCAGTCAGCGCTGGCGGATCGGAGCGGGGAGGGGGGAATCCCTGCAAAAAGCTGTGACAGGATCGAGAGGTGAGAGAACGCCGGTATGTGTTCCCTCACCTCCCGATCTACTGAGCCGACCTGTGACAGTCTCATTGTCACAGGTCGGCTAGAACTATGAGGTGAGTGAAAAGCCCCTCCCCCTCATAGTTCTCCTTTAACTGCTTTCCCCCTTCTCCTCTTAGCTATTATTTTTCTGGTAATTTGTTTCATTTCTTTACCATTAATATTTTTATTTTATTTCTTGCATTTTCATTCCTTTTTTTTTTTTTTAGTTCCACATAACAAGAAAATGTGCAAAATAATAATAAAATAAAAGCCCCTTTGTTGGATTTGCAATGCTTTCTAGAACCATCATATTTTTAGTGTAATTTTTAAATGTGACAAATAATAGAAAAATAAATTATACTTTTTATTTACAAAAAAAAAAAAGCTAAAAAATATTAGTCAAAACAGTCTTTTATTCTATAGAAAAGAAATCATTTTTGCAAAACAATAATGCCCAAAAAAAGCAGCCTAGGTTTGTCTTTGGTTATTTTAGGTCACGGCAGAGTTATTGCTGGCCCATACTGGAAGAGCACAGAGGGGGGTGTACAGGTGTGACCACTGAACTAGGTAAAGGAGAAGTATGAGGTGGGTGAAAATTAGTCAGCCTCATAGCTCGAGCCGACCTGTGACAATGAAACTGGTCACAGGTCGGCTCTATAGATCAGGAAGTGAGGGAACACATACCGTAACTCGCTCAATTCTCAATCATGTCCCTGCAGAGAGCCGTGACTGTCACAGGTCGGCTCAGTAGATCGGGAGGTGAGGGAACACATACCGGCGTTCGCTCACTTCTCGATTCTGTCACGGCTCTCTGCCGTGACAGGGGGAGGGGCTGGATTCCCCCCTCCCCGCTCCGATCCGCCAGCGCTGACTGGCGGAACGGACGGGGGAGTGGGCGGGTACAGCTGGCTCTGCCTCTAGATAGGCAGAGCCAGCTGTCACTCACGCGGCTGGGCGGATCTCGTCATCTACGTCGGGATCCGCTCCGGCTAGGGCGTCTCAGTATACCGCGAGCTGTAGCTCCCTACATACTGAGCCTAGAGTGACGGGAGGACGCTAGTTTGTGTGCTCCCGTGACCCTAAGGAGAACTATGGGGGAAAAAAACTTACCTCAGTTCTCTTTTAATGTTCAATATTTCAGAGTTACCTGAACTTTTTTTTTTTGCCTGGAGAATAAAATGCATAAAATTCCCGACACTCACTTTTCACTCTGATCAGTCAGCCATTCACCTCTCTCCTGCATGCGTTTCTTTAGCTCGAAGGCTTCATATGCCAACTGCCAAAAAAATAAAAAATCGACAGAAACACAAAAGAGAGTCAATTCACTAAACAAAACAAATTCCGGATTTTCCCGCCCGCCAGTTATCTGCCAATATTTACTACGGAAAAGGAGGATTTGTTTTCCATCTAACGTGCTGTACCCATTATGAGGAGCTCCCCCCATCCCTGTGCTGAGTTTCCGGGTCTGTACACCCGCTGTGCCCATTATGAGGAGCTCCCACCATCCCTGTGCTGAGATCCCGGGTCTGTACACCCGCTGTGCCCATTATGAGGAGCTCCCACCATCCCTGTGCTGAGTTCCCGGGTCTGTACACCCGCTGTGCCCATTATGAGGAGCTCCCACCATCCCTGTGCTGAGTTCCCGGGTCTGTACACCCGCTGTGCCCATTATGAGGAGCTCCCACCATCCCTGTGCTGAGTTCCCGGGTCTGTACACCCGCTGTGCCCATTATGAGGAGCTCCCACCATCCCTGTGCTGAGTTCCCGGGTCTGTACACCCGCTGTGCCCATTATGAGGAGCTCCCACCATCCCTGTGCTGAGTTCCCGGGTCTGTACACCCGCTGTGCCC